ACCACTATGACTGTTTAAGGGACCCACACGTCAACAAACTATAGCCATGACAAACACTACTAGAGAATGCTTCTCTTGATTTGACCTACTCATAAATATCCACAAGTCTATCCTACAACCCACTCAAAATTTATCGGGGCACTTCTAGATTCAGTAACAGCAAGAACCTACCTGCCACCTCAAAGATTCAAAGTGCTATGTGACTTTATTTGCGGGGGTCAAAGCATACTCCCTTTACCACGCATGGCTACAATATTTGTAGTCCTATTGACGAGACTACATATGTGCTGCCTAGAGTATTAGCTTGCAACTGTCTACAACCCAAACTGACAGTCTCGCAAAGCATCTCAAACTCCCACTGTTAGTTCTACAGTCTGTCGACTGGTGGACTTCTCCAACCAACTTGACAGCTGGCAAACCCTTCCAGCACCCAGATCCATCAGTAGTCACCATGACGGATGCATCACTTTTGGGCTTGGGCGCCCCTTGTGGCAAAATGGCGGTACAGGGCAGATGGTCTCAATGGCAGATGCACCTTCATATCAACATACTTGAGTTCAGGGCCATTCGCAAAGCATGCACTCATTTCCTCCCCCTGACCTCATGGACATCACACCCTCTATGTTCTACATCAATCGACAGGGGGGTGCCCGATTACGCTCACTATGTGCAGAAGCAATTAGCTTTTGGAACTGGTGTATCACGAATCACACAACTCTAACCACGAGCTATATACCAGCTAGCGGAATCCCAGGGCCAACAAACTGAGCAGACACATCTCAGAACAACATGAGTGGGTGATCAAACCAATGTTCTCCTCCCAGTTTTTCGCAAACGGGGTTCCCAGTCATAGATCTCTTTGCAACACTACTCAACCGCAAATGCCACGGGTTTTGCTCCCGATCAGGGCAGGGTAAGAGATGGGAGGGGGATGCCGCCACCATTTGCCAGACAGCTCCCCGGCTCTTTGTTTTCCCACCAATCCCACTTTTCTGCAGGGTGATCAAGAAGATACACTCTTACCAGGCCACAGTAATTCTGATAACTCCCTCCTGGCTGAGCCAACCCTGGTCCCCCTATCTACACTACATTTCAATAGATCAAGCGATTCCCCCTCTCCATGGTGCTGCACCTCCTAATGCAACCCCATGGCAAAACATACCATCTGAATGTCAAAACTCTGAAACTCATAGCATGGCTTCTCCATGGTTTCAAAATGAAGAACTTACCTGTTCAGACAGAGTCAAATACAACCTATTGAACAGTCGACGGCCCTCCACAATATGCACCTATCAAAACAAATGGAGACATTTTCAAGAATGGTGCACGATTCGGCATTAACAGCCCAATAGTGCCCCCATACCTACTGTACTGGGATATCTGATGGACCTCAGCGATGCAGGTCTCTCCATCAGCTCTATACGTGTCCATCTGGTGGTGGTCACAACTTCCCATGAACCTGTGGATTTCTCTTTCTTTGTGATTCCTCACAGGCTTGCAGAAAACATGCCCAAAATGGCTCCTCTCTTCTCCCCCCCCCCCCCCCGTGGGACTTAAACCTTGTTCTTGACACACTCACCAGGTCATTCTTTGAACCACTAGCCACTACATCACCACAATACTTGTCCATGAAGGTGGCCTTCATAATGGCAGTAACATAAGTAAGATGTGTAGGTGAAATCGCAGCCCTCATGGCCAATCCACCTTTCACAACTTTTACTAAAGACAAAGTCATACTCAGGCTTCATCCCAAGGTCATCTCTGCCTTCCACCTAAATTAACTAATATACTTACCTTTATATTTTCCTAAACCTAATACTTCCTCCAAAGAGTCCATCTTGCACACATTGGATGCGAGACGAGCCATTGCAGTCTACTTAAAACTACAGAGATCAGAAGGTCGGACAGACGCTTCATCTCTTGGTCTAGGCCACATAAGGGAACAGCTGTCTTGGCACAACGTATATCCAAGTGGATTGCTAGTTGCATACGCACACAGAGGTTACAATCTTCGAGGGAAGAAGCCACCACAGATTATCAGGGCTCACTCCACACTTGTGATGGTCACAACAACGGCTTTCCTACATAAAATACCATTGGCGGACAATTGTAGAGCAGCTACGTGGGCCTCCCATCACACTTTCACACAACATTATGCCCTACAGAAAGGACTTACATCCGCTGCCTCTCTGGCAGATGCAGTCCTTCCTTCCTCTGTATAAATAACTCCAATGCCCGCCACCATTTGGCAGGTACTGCTACTAAGTCACCTGAGTGGAGCACCCCCAGGGACACCACTTCATGGAGAAGAAGTTGTTACTCACCCTGAGCAATAATGATGGTTCTTCGAGATGTGTGCCCTGTGGGTGCACCACTATCCTCTCTTCCTCCCCTCTGCTTGGAGTCTTTTTATAGACTTCGGGTAGAAAAGGAACAGAGGGAGTTTCGCGCTGTGCGAGCATCCAACAAGCAACAATAGCGCGAGACACAAAGTGCACAGGCTTGGCAAGAGGGGCACTGCTGAGCAAAAATATCTGGTCAGCGGCATGGGGACACACTGAGACCCCTGAGTGAAGCGTCCAGTGGGACACACATCTCAAAGAACCATCGTTACTTCAGAGTGAGTAACTTCTTTCTTTATGGGCATGCTCACATACATAACTGAAATCCAAAATACACTTTAAGATCTTACTCTTGCTTGGTACATATCTGTTGAAATTATTTTTTAAAGAAGCCATTCAAAATCATTCTTATTACTTGAAAATTTGAAATACAAGAACTGGAAGGTTAGTCTAGCAATTCAGATGCATAGCCTGGAACTGTATTTTGAACTGATAATACACAGTCATTAATGGAATAGATCCACTGTGTAGTAAAGACATGCCCTGAATTTATCTAGATTCAACTTTCAGCCATTGGATGATGATGTAACTTTTTCTGCTGGGTTAATGAGCCCATTAATAAATATGGGGGAAGATGACATCACATAGTGATCTAATGCATACATTCGTAGATTCAAAGAGGACCAGTATATATATCATCTAGTCTGACCAGTACATCACAGGGGTTAAATTCCCCCAGTTACCCTCTGTTTTACAGCCAATAACTTGTGCTTGACTAATGCATATCTTCTAAAGGGTTATGTTCCTTATTTCCAGTTTTTAAATTTGGATTCAGCTTCCAGAAATTGGTTAATGATAAGTCTTTCTCTGCTAGATTGAAGAGTTCTTTAGTACCTGGTATCTTCTCTCTATGAAGATACTTCTTCTTATCAAGTTGCCTCTAAATATTTTTACAGGTAACTGTATTGAGCTCTCATAGCTCTCACTATAAGGCATTTTCTTTTGCTCTCAAATAATTTTTATAGGTCTCAGCAAACTTACATTTTTTCAAAATCCTTCTTAAAATGTAGATATCCAGAACTGTGTGCAATATTCTAGTATCTGTCTCACTATGGTGAACTATGTGATCTGTGAATCATACATAGACTCAAATATTGAGACAGGGAAACAGGAGCATTAAAATATATGGGTGTGTATGTATATATATATTATATGTCCCTGACATAACTTAAGTTAGAAAAATTTATTGTTAGCTGCATAGCATGTCTTCTCCCAGCTAAAATGAAGAGCCACAGTGGTCCGGGGCCCAGCGCAAGCAGGGGCTGGGACCGACCTCCCGCTGTGGCTCTGCAGTGTAAATGTAGTAGGAGCTGGGCTGCCTGCAGTCCTGGCTCCTGCTATATTTAAACTGCAGAGCTACCTTGGAGATAGCTCCTGGAGCCGTTGAGAGCTGGGACAGAGCGCCTCCTCTTATTGACTAATCATGTAGTCAATACAAATTGTATTGACTAAACCAGTGTTTCTTAAACATTTTAAGACCGAGGAACACTAAACAATAATTTTTTTTAAGAGGAACACCAAGGATTTTTTTCTTGAGCAAAAAAAAAAAAAAAAAAAAAAAAATGATAAGGGGGAAAAGGCTCGGGAAAGTTATTGAAGGGAAAAAAAGGGTCGGGGAAAGTTATTGAGAGGGGGGAAAAAAGGGTGGCAGGGAAGTTAGAGGGAAAAAAAGGTCACCTGCCCCTTTAAGGGTGGACATTTTGAATTCTGTTTTTCTCCGACTGCCTTGCGGCACACCAGTGTGCAGCAGAACACAGTTTAAGAAACACTGGACTAAACAATTAGTCAGTTGCCTGCTTCTGAAAATCCTTACTTTGCACTCTCTAGCTTTCTCTTGTGTTATACTTAGGTTGCAAGCTGTTTGCGGCAGGGGCCATCTCTACATGTATATGTTTTGTATACTGCCCAGCAAAATGGAGCACTGGCACTAATCACTAGTGCAGTACAAATGATTTTACACACTCACACTCACTCACTATCCTGCTGGTCTCGATTACTTCAGAATGTTGTTCATTCCCTTCTCTTCTCTTGTTCCTCACTCTGTTAAACTTCTTCAGGGAGGGGAAGATAAGCAAGCTACATCATTTAATTTATTTCAAATATGTTCAATTTAGATTCACCTCATCCCTTAGTTTTTTAAAATAACACCCAGCCATGTGGACGTTTAAAGCTTGTGTTCTACAATGGATTGGTTGTAAATGGAGACACCAGTTATATTTATTTGTGGAGGCAAGTGTAATTTCTGTAGAAGGGTAGAATGTCATTACTGCTGCCAGGTTGTTATGGCTGCTTAGTGCTTTTGTTTGGACCTCTCCTGTTATCAGCAATAGTAGAGGTGCAGTCTGCTAGTTAGCAGACCCTGATGTTACTTGGACAGAGAGACCATTGGCATAGTTTGGTGACAAAGGTTCTTGGCTAGATTTATTGCCCTTAAGGCACTATTCTAATGAGTTTCACAATATACCAAAGTCATTAACACATTGCAAGAAGTGGCTCAGTTACTGAGAATTTTTGCTGTCCTCTCAACAACACAAAGGGATACAGTGAGGTCCCCTGACACTTTAAAGACTGAGAGAAACAACTATGTACCACCTTGTGTTTCATGATGTTTTTTCCCCTTTGTTTCCGATACCTTGGAGAAAACATTTTTCTTTATTGTTTTATCAAACCATCTATTTTTACTAGATTGGGGTGTATTTGTACTAGGTTTCTAAAATACATCTATGTTAATATTTAATGCCTAGTATACTAACAACAGCTTTGCCAAGTGTATGTAACAAACACTGAACTTGGAAGCATTATTGAACACGTGTCTTTGGTTTATAGCCTCAGGTGCAGGCCTCAAATTTTGCATGGGAGCCAGTGTTCCAGGCTCTCTCTCTCACCTGCCTACAGTTTGTTTCTGGAGGTTTTTATGTATAGGTTTGAGAACTGTCAAATTGTCTGACTGTGAAAAGTGGGTTTTAGTCTACCTCATTACATATTAGCTCTAGTTAATGATTTCTGAGGCACTGAAAGACTTTGTAGAGAACCTCTATCGTAAGGTGTTTGCCATGCTTCGTTGGCTCTGGATAGTTACAACTTTTCACTGACACGTATTTTGTAATTCAGTAAATTTAAAATAAATTGTTTCATTATCCTGTCTTTCTAGTGAGGTCAGAAATGACATATAAAGAAAACTGAAAGATGTTCAGTCACCTTTTTCTTTGTTTCAATAGCAACTTTTTAACTGTCAGTCCCTGCACAAGCTGAGTTTGCCAGACAATGATCTAACAACATTGCCAGCATCCATTGCAAATCTCATAAATCTCAGGGAACTAGATGTCAGCAAGAATGGTAAGTTATTTTATTATTATCATGTTTTAGAGGAATGATGAAAGGATAAAATAGTATGAATATATAGAATTGCAGAGGCACCTGGTACTACTTACAGAAAATACTTACCTTAATATTGAATATGAGTCACCAACCTAAATGACTGTCAGAATTGTTGTATGGAAAAGCATGTTGGATAGTAGTATGTCTGTGTGGCATTTATTAGTTTCTTCTTTATGCCTTCGAAAATAAAATAAGTTTGAACTTTGAAGTATAAAATACTGAGATCCAAATCCTGTGGCTGGTAACAGCTGAGAATAACCAGGAGCTTGTAATTATCATTATTGGTTTACTGTATATTCATTCAGCAGTGGATTCCATTTGATGTATCCAAATATAAATGGTTTATTTTGCTTAATACTCTTAGAAAATGTATACACCTAATTATTAATGTAAAATTCAAGTCAAAAATTGGAATATTCTCGATTGGATTTTATTATTTAAAAAATATTTTAAAAGGTCTTTTTTTTCAAATTGGTAATTTCATTCTAACAAGTGCAAATGTAAACATTTCATATTGTTAGCAGACTTTCTTGTTTATAAGAAAAAGTGATGTGCCAGATCAGCAACTAATGGCTTGTCTTGGCTTCTGGGAATATCGGTGCTCCGAAGATTGATCTTCTGGCATTTGCTAAATTGAATGCTGAGGGCTTCCCCTTCAACTCCGGAACTCTCTGCAGTCTGCATTAACTGCAGCTAGTGAAAACAGGAGAGAAAGAAAAAGAAACTCTCCTTTTTTATTTGAATATTGGTTTCCTCTCATTGTCTGTTGTGACCAACTTTATATTTAAACAGTTGGGAGGAGTAAGGGAAGTCAACAGGAGAGTTTCTTCTGTCAGTCTTCCACTGTGGGTCACCCCAGAAAATCGATGCAAGGTACATTGACTCCAGCTACTCAGTTCTCGTTGCTGGAGTTGTGTATCTTGCATTGATTTTTTTTCCCACCAGTATAGACCTGCCTTAAGGTTGCTGCAGAGTACAGTGCAATACTACCTCATTAATTCACTTTAATGATAGGAGTCCTATTGCAGATTAACATACTTGGCCTTAATTGGCATTCTGGTACAGTGCATAGCTATTAAAATAATTAAATAGGGCAGGAAGTTGGATTTACCACAATCACAGTGAAGTTTTCTCAGCCTGGATTAATGCTTCTGTTTGAAAACTATTAATAAAAACATTCCAAGCCTGAGCAAAGTTGTTGTTGCCTTTCCAGAGAATGAAGAAAATAATTTTTATTTTTAATTTAGAGGTGGTATAGGAAAAGAGCTGTTTTAAATCGTGAGACCTCCTAATATTGTTTAGTAGCATATTCCAGCTATTGTCTACAGTTTCTATTAAGGAGCACAATTTCCAAACAATTTTGAATCCCCACTGCAGGTTCCAGACACGTAATTTAATCTGAATCTTGGTATTCAAAGGTGTAAAAGAGTATTCTATACATTTAAGATAGCTGTACATTTAATTTCTGCACAATTCCATAATCTAGTTGTATCAAATTTATTGTTTTATTGGACAACGTGTCTATTCATCCAACTATGAGTCCACAGAATTACAAAAGCACTCTTCTTTTAAAAAAAAAATGGTTGTGGAAATATTGGTATTCCCCTCATTGCCTATTGTAACCAGCTTTATATTTAAGCTATTTTATTATTACGTTTTAATGAACACTACATTTTTATTGAAATATAGTATCTTGTTTGTTACTACTCTGTTTTTGGTCCAAGTGAATTAATATTGCTAGCTAAATAAGACCATCCTTAAATACTTCAATTATGAGAAGAATGATGTATTAAAGGAGACATTTTCTGGCTTGCCTGAACTGCTGAAAGGAGTAACTGTTTCCAGTATAGTAGTTATCATTGTTATATTATATTTAAATGAATCAAAAAGTTTTCTTTATTTTAGTTAGCGCTAGCAAATTTCTTAGCTCACAGAGAAAGGGCAACTGGTCAGTCACCAGCTGAAGAGAGTCATCCATTCAAAATAACGCAACCTTTACATAAGCGTACTAAGATGTGCTCGAAGAATATTTGTTACTGAGGAGTATAAAGTATTTCAGGCAGCTGTATAATTTGGTGTCTCAGACTATGAAATAATTTTTTTTGTCGTTTTAAATGCTATGGGAGCAATAGTAGGTACTTCATAGTTAAGATTGAAGTCAGCTTCCTATCATAAAACCTAATTTTGAATCACTGACCACAATATCATCTCTTCCATCTATAATCAGAAAATCCCCACCAGTCTTTCTAAAAATTTACAAGCCACATTTTCTCCTCAGATAGACTTTTTCTGGGAAGTTTGATTAAAAATTAGAGGAGGAGTTTGTGTCAACCTATTCATCCTGGTTGATGAAATAAGGGATACTAGAGTTCCCTCCAGAATGTTTGATAAATTTGAAGCCACCCCAAGTTTTTCAAATTGGTCTGTAAAGAAAAGGGGAGATATTCTTTTTCTTCCCCTCCTGTTTTCCCTAGCTGCAGTTAATGCAACAGGGTAAGTTCTATTGTCTCCCTCTTGTAACCTCAAAACTTATTCCTGGCACTTGGCTACATTTAGTTGTAAATAGTAAACATGCTTTAATGGTTATATCAGCCCGTGAGACTGAACCTAGTATAACCAAAAATATTATTATAGTTAATTATTTAAATCAAGATTTCCTATTTTCTAATTTAAATTGGTGATTGATGTAAAATTTTATTTTAATTTTCTCCTAAGTCTTGTATGGCCAAAATTTGATTTACTTGTATGTACATTTATGCTCAGATATCTTTACATAAGCATAAGCCCCAAATGTTGTACCAATAAAAGCAAGCAGGATCTTATGAGGGGGATAAGGCAAAAAGCCACATTTATTGTAAAGATAATAATAAAGAATAAAGAAAAGATAGAAGCAAACAACGTTGTTTAGCTACTTATTCCTATCACTACTTAACCCTTATACACTTTATATATAAAAAAACACTCATTCAATCATTCATCCATTCATTCAAGTTCTGTGTATTTGTTATAGTTACCAGCCTGGAAGTTGCTTGTGACAGAATACTGGCCAGGTACTCTGTACACAAGTGATGGTAGTGGGGAGCGAAGTCCTGATCAGATGCGCATCTGAAGCTCCTGGTAGGCTGGCAGCAGAACCTTGGACTCTAACTCCATAGTCTTTTAGTCCAGTTCTTATAGGAATTTCTTCCTATGTCAGTCTATGGAAATTGCTGCATCATGCTGATGTCTTCAGGGTGGCTGCCAGGTGCTCGTCAGTGATCTCATAGGGTGGACCTCCAGTACTTGGTTTTCTCCACTTGACACCTTTTGGTTGCACTGGCACCTGACGCCTTCTTCAGCCCTTTGTTGCTGCATTCTCAGGCTGGCACCTCTCAAAACCATTCATTCATCATCCAAGCACTCTCTCTCTTACATACATTCCCTAATTAATGTTTCACATACAGTATTTTGTATAATAATAACTTTACATAGATAAGAGTTGTAGTTACAAAAGTTTCTGGGTGGTATTTCTTAAAACATTCTCTGAGTGCTGAGTTAGTTAATGTTAAAGTTACAATGTTTCACTTTGGGATTAGGGTTAATTGCTTCACAATGCTTTGAAGAGAATAGGTGTCAATCGTGTAACAATAAGTTTGAGCCTTATTGGGACACAGAGGGGAGCTGTGTCTGGCTACATAGTATTATATTTTTAACAGTTTTAAGTTACATGACCTAATATTACATTCCTAACAAATTATATTCTAGAGGGGCAATAATAATAAATCTAAACATTTAACAATCTTAACACACAAATAATAATAATAATAATAATAATAAATCTAAACACTTTAAGTTGTGGGGAACAAATTATGGGGAGTCACTTTCACTTGGGGAAATCATTTTTAATACATTAATATGTTATCCCTACACAAACACCTAAAATATACTTTTTTCTTAAAATAAGACAGTAGTCCAACATTCATGAACAATCTTTATATATACTGATTTGTCCTATGTACAATGAAAATGAAACAAATTGGTAAGTGAGAAGATATTTCAGAGCTTTCAAATAGTGCATGAAATTCAGTTACGGGAGAGAGTGTGAGAGGGACTCTTGAAGTGCTCTAGTAAACTATTACCAGGATAGTGTTTGAATGGTGGATCATTAACATCTCATACATTCTGGGAGGCAATCTTATTGATTTTGCTAACTCAGGGTAAGTTCAGATAGGAATGGGTGAATCCAACAATGACTGAAATTTTGTGAATTTCAGGAACTTTACCAAGTGTTCTTCTACAAATTTGAAAAATGTATATGAATTCCTTTTCTCCATAAATGTAACTCACATATGTTTTTACATGCAGGCACTTAAGCCATGTCTACACTACAGCGTTTGTTGGGAAAACTTCTGTTGATTAGATGTGTGGGGAATCCCTTCTTCTTTCCCCCAAACAACATAAATTTCTCTGGCACAAGTACCTTCATCCACAGCAGTGTGTCAGCAGAAGATACTCTCCTGCCAGTGTAACTACCACCTCTTCTTTATATGGTTTTACTATATTTATGTTTCTCAAAGTGGTCCGCAGATCCACTCTGAGAAACCTGTTAATTGGCTTCTGTGTTTTGAGTATTTACTGGTCCGCAGCCATGGAGCCTTGCAGCTCCCATTGGCTCCAGTTTGCCGTTTTCAGCCAAGGGATGCTGCCGGAAGCTGCCTGGCCCACGCTGCTTCCCAAGGCTCCCCTTGGCTGTAAACAGCGAACCGGAACCAATGGGAGCTGCAAGGCTCTGTGGCTGCAGAGGTGGTAAATAAACAAACCACAGCAGCCAGTTAGTAAGTTTCTCAGAGTGGATCCGTGGACCACTTTGAGAAACACTGTACTATGTCAACAGGAGAGCTCTCTCCTGTCATCATAAAGGACCACACAAGCAATCTTATAGTGACCAAGCTACACCTTACAGCTGCGTGCCACTCTGT